TAGATATAAAAAGCAAGAATTAGTTACCTCTGAAGTGTTCTTATGGTAAAATATAAAAGAATTCTCATGAATGAATTATAAAATCATAGTTAACTTTACAGTTCATCAATCTGATGTACCCTGCCCTTACGTTTAACTTATTTGTAAATACTTTTCCAAGGCTACCTAAACACTTACTAATTGATTAAATATGCTGCCTACATTAATTCCTGTTAAAATTAAAGAAATTAAAGGTTCACCTTTGTTTTTTAGCAATGGCTGATTTTTTTTCAAAGTATTCAATGTTCCAGAAAAGGTGTTTATTAGTTTCTTAAAACATTTAAGATCTGGTTCAAGGGACAATTTATAGCCATTTCACTTTGAACATATTCATTATCTTAGATTTTGTTGTACAGATTCAGTTTTCTCCCTTTTCTGAAACTCTTCTTTCACCCAGCTAAAGAATCTAAGATGTTATCAAAATTTAAAAAATTACACTTATTTCTTATACATTTGCAAACATATAAAAAAGAACATGTATTCCAAGCAATGTAAGTAAAATTATTCAGGTAAAACTTATCTTGATATTTGTGTGTATGTATGTGTGTTTGTGTGCGTGTGTAACAGGTAGTTTTTCACATATCTTGATTTTTCAAAGAATAAGATTCTAAACAAAAAATATTAAAAACATTCCTAGAAGTATGACTATTTTTCATTATATAGCTCAAGATTCAAATGATTACTAAAACAAATTTCAAAGATTGCTAGATATGTTTTAGTTGTCTGGCTTTTCAAATCTCAGTTAAGATAAGAACATTACATTTAATTTAGAAAACAATAACTTAAACCTAAGAAAGGTACATTTCCAGAATACCAAACCAAAATATATTCAGTGACAACAAGGATTATTTTAAAAATGAAGGGAAATTCCTCATATTTGATTGATATTAAAACACAAAGAATATCCTCAAAATTTTAAAACTATATTGATAAAAGAAAATTCACTAATTTATTTAGCTTTAAAATGCCAGTTTACTAAAATACTTTGGTTATAATAAATGTATAATATTTTGTCAGTATTAGTCCATACTTATAAAATCATCTTCCAGAGCAGCTAAATTCTTTAGAATTTAGAATAACAAAATTAGGCATATAAATTTCAAATAAAAGTATTAATCTGTGAGGTTTCTCCAAATAAAAGAGCATTTGGGGTATATAATATCCTTAGATTATTTCTTTAAACTGGTATAATTTTATAGTAGCTTCAGACAAAGGATGTTCAACAGGTAATATTTCTAAAGGCATCAAAAAACCTTAACACAACCAATTCAAATTAGGTATTATGCTGTGACCTATCTAAATAACTCTCTAAGGAATTATAGATTTCATATTTGTGCACTCTGAGTGTACTTTCTAATACAGGCAAGTAACTAGTTGTGTAAAACCCAAACAAGAATGTCATAGTAAGGGAAAAAAAAAAAGTAAAAAAAAAAAAAAAAAGTCCCACAACACCAGCACTTTTATTTAGATTGACAATAACCTAACCATAACTTGAAGTGTGAACAAGCTAAACAGCTC